AGGGAAAGGACTTCCAGAGACGGCATGCTTTCTCCTATCCACCCTGGTATTTCTCCTCGCAACTTATTTGAGCTCAGGTCTAAAAATACTAGAGAACTACAATTCCTCAAAGACGAAGGTAATTCTCCAACAAAGCTATTATTATGCAAACTCAATGTTTCAAGATTGAACATTGATCCAATGAAGCTGGGAATTTTATCTGAAAAGTTGTTGCTGGCCAAATTCAGAATACGTAGACTTGTGAAATTCATTAAACAGTCAGGAATCCATTCCGTCAACAGGTTATTTGAGAGGTCAAGAACACTGAAGATATCACTTCCAATATTACATGGAAGAGAAGCTGGACCTGAAAACTTATTGTTAGAGAGAAACAAGGTTGACGTGGTATCTGATGAAAAAAGTGGTAATGGCCCCACAAACTGATTGAAACTCAAATCTATGTTTTGGAGATTGGAATATTTTGATGCGAAATCTGGCAAAATTCCACTCATCTTGTTGTGGGAAAGGTCTAACAATTCCAACTTGGAATTGGACAAGTTCCAAAACCAATTAGGGATTGTATCTGAAATTCCAGAATCAGAGATATCTAGCTTCACAAAATTATTTTGATTTCGAAGCCATTGAGGGAAATGAGGACCCAAATTACAAGACGAAAGAAATATGTGAACCAATTGAAAAGAAGGGGCCCAGTTAGACTCAAATTTCAAAGCTAGGGAGTTATCAGTTAAATCCAATACCGTTAATTTGGAGAGATTTGAAAAGTGAGCTTCAGACATCACACCTTGTAGGGAATTCCCTCCAACATGCAATTCCTCGAGCTGAAATAGACTTCCAATACTTTTAGAAACATTCCCATCTAAGCGATTGTTATCGATCCACAACTCTCTTAATGATGAAAGCATCGTAACATCCGTAAGTGATCCAGTGAGTTGGTTGTCATCCAAGTACAACAAAGCAAGTTTAGAACGTTGACTAAATTGTTTCGGTAAAGATCCATTCAGTTGATTCCGAGAGAGATCCAGCTCTGTCATGGAAGCGAATCTTGTGATGTCAGGAAGTGAACCCTGAAGCTGATTTCCGTCTAGTTGCAGAATCTCTAGTGAGCTCTCCAAGCATCCATGCAAGTCTTGAAACAACTGAGACAACTCTCCAGTGAGATTGTTTTCACTTATATACAGTGCATTTAAACTGCACATATGCCCAAATGAACTCAAATAACCTTGTAATTGGTTAGAGGATAGATGAAGAGTCCTAAGAGAAGTCATGTTTGTGAAAGCATCTGGAATTGAACCTTGTAATTGGTTATATGAGAGGTAAATATCAACAAGATTGCTACCGAAGTTTGCCAACCAATAAAATATTGAAGAAGTAAGCTGATTATCAGAGAAATCAACGAGAGCAAGAGATTTAGAGGAGTTTACAAGAGAAAGAGATGGAGAACCGATAATTGAAAGGCTACAAGAACTTAACAACAATTCATGTAAGCGAGGGAGCCTGTTAAGCACTTGCAGCCAGTCAATCGTTTGACTAAGGTTATTGCGACTCAAGTCAAGATACTCCAAAGAAGAAAGATATGAAAGCCAATCAAGGTTTTCAGAACTGTTAATCCAGTTACTCCTAAGATTAAGATGAACAAGACTGTTATTAAAGTTGGACAACCAATTGAATGTTGAAGAAGCAAGATAGTTTTGAGATAGATCAATGACAGCTAGGGATTTAGAAGAATTTGTAAAAGAAAGAGAGGGAGGACTGACACTTGAAAGATCACAGCCACTTAACCATAAGACTTTTAAAAAAGGGAATTTGTTAATCGTTTGTATCCATTCAGTGGCTTGACTAAGGTTGTTTTCATCCAAGTAAAGATACTCAAGAAAAAAAAGGTTAGAAAGGAAGTTAAGATTTTTAAAATTAACCCCATAATTATAACTGAGATCAAGAGATTGTAATTTTGAGAGGTTCCAAGGCTGATTTGAAAGAGTTCCAGTAACACCAATAGAAGAGAGATCAAGGTATGTTAATTCTTTTAGAGATCCAATGAAATATGGAAAAGGATTCCCTTCAAAATTGCTTCCACTTAGATTCAGGTAACTCAAATGCTGCAACTCCAGTAATGAATTACTGATCTTACCAGTTAAATACTTGCCGCCATTCTCCCGGTGAAGATCAAGATGAGTAACATGACCAGTTCGATTGTTGCATCCAACTCCTCTCCATTTGCAGCAATCCCTCTTCTCTTCTTCACTTCCCCAAGTTGAAAGAATACCAAAGTCATCAATAAGGTCTTCTTTAAACTTGAGAAGGGCTTGTCTCTCCCTCTCTATGCACCCGAAAGTTGCCCCTTTCACTCCAGAAATGAACCCAGGTGCAAGTTTCATGAGCAACAAAAGCACAATAAGCACATAAAGATGATGAAACGACTTGTCATGCTTTATCAGCAGCATGATCACATAAAAAGATAATATAGAAGAGGGTATGGAAGTAATAATTGAGAGCAATATTGAGAAATTGGTGGGTAATTTAACTTTGAATCCATTCACTTCACAACTTCCCTATATATAATATAA